TGATACTAATTTCAACAGATAGACAAGTAGATGGAAAAAGGCACAATTGCGATAGACTTTATGTTTAAACTGTTGCATTGATCTCACTGGGACTATTTGTATAAGCATGTGTATAGCTGTTTATACAACCAGTGTAAATAAGGGTTCTATAATCAGGCTTAAAGCACTTCCCAGTACTTTTGCTGAAGCACTGTTCAGAGACACTGTAGTAAACTAAAGCACTCACTGAAAGCAAAAGGAAGGAATCATCAATAAAATAAATGCAGGTTAACCATCAAACTTCAATAGCATTATTAGAAATGTACCATAATTAAATGCAATGAAGTCCACTTTAGAGATGGCTTTGGCAGTGTGAAAGAATAGTTTTAAATTTTACGTGCAGCAAATTATGCACTGTGCTGTTCATATTTTGAAAGTATTTTACATGGTCAGAATTTAAAATACAACAAATGTTCTGTGCTGTGCCTTTCAGAGGCACAAAACACCTCAGCTTGGCAAAAAGGAACAGCAAGCAACACAGCACTTAACATCACATTCATCAGTATTGTATCATCATAGTGCTGGGCAGTACCAATATTAACTGACTTGCATTTCTAATGACTTAACTAGAACATATAATACAGTAGCTATGCCAACCATGGCAAACAAAACATATATAATCCTGCATGAAGTTAGAGCTTACTCGTTCTAACATCTGACCTGGCATATTAGAGAAAATTATTAAAAAGTATATAAAGACATCAGCAAAATTTTACTCCCGTTCAGAGCTTTTGCAAAAAGAAACCCCACTGTGCGGTGTCACTACAGGCAGTGTTAGATTTTATCACCTACCATACCTGACAGCCTAAGCTGCTCCATCTTTGCATTTAAGACACAAATCACTTCTGCCAGTAGGACACATTACCACTCAAGTTTTCTTTAAAGAAATTTTTTTTTGCATTTTTGTAGCGAAGAACAACAATTTTCTGTCCCTCTTAAGCTACAGTTTTCACATTGTTTCACATTCTTCTCTAAGCTTCGCTCCAGAGTGTTCGCACCCCTCAAGCCTCACCCTTGAAGGGGGGCACCATCTCTTACAAACCAGGCTGTATTTAAGAAAAACATTCCTTCAGAATTAAATATAGCCTTTTTGGAAAGTTTGCAAGAGACTATCCAAGACATTTGTAAAAAAAAACCACCCAAAAGACTATTCAAATCATTTGCATATCACAACGCTATCTTTTATATTACAGACTGCCACCTCATGGAATTATCTTCTGTTCATTTTGTCTCAAAATTATTTATAGAAATACTACTGTAGGAAAAGAAACATTAGAACTGTAACTACACAGCACGGCATAGTGTTTCTTTTGATAAAGATGTCTCAAAAAAATCAAAATAAGCCATCCTCAGCTTGACTGAAACATCTTTTTTCTAGTATCAAGGATATAGTAAGACGGAATGGATCTGGTTAAGGATAACTAGGCTGGTAGCACTAAGGCATAGTTTTGATAACCTTCTTCTTCCACCTAGTGGCAAGAAGCATAAAAAACAAGGTCTTGGGGAGTGCAGTCATAAGATGCTTTCAAACACCAACTCTATAAAGGTTCACTGACATTATAATGAGGACCGAGTCATGTAGAATTCTGGTTTTCACGTTCAAGTTCACAAGTAATAAACACGCTCTCACAAGGAGATTAGAAATGCACTTATGAGATAGAATTGTTGAAACAAACCTAAGCTCTCTTTACAGGTATATTTTTCATTCATGAAGCTCAGTATTTTTGTTTTCCAGGTTATTCAGTCTGATCATCTTGTAAGAAGTAGCAACTATCCAAATCTGTATTCTGCCTCAACTGCTCAAGTATTTACTAAGAAGATTTGAAAAAAAAATTAAAAAAAACATTACAGCAAAACTGTTCAGCATTTTATTAAACTTAGTAAATCAAATACTACAATAGTATAAACTAAGACAGATAATTCTATTGCCCTATAGATAGGGGGGTGGTTGTAGCAGAAAATAAGAACTAATTAAAAGTTTCTGCAGAATTATCTGGCTATAGTGGAAAAAACACACCTATTAGTATTGAGCACTATGTAATCAATAGAAATATATCCATTATCTCAACTGGAATTTTAAGTAAGAGCAGTGTTTTCAAGTTCACATTCTGCTTCTCTTTAGGATCAACATTCTCACAACAGATCCTACTGAATTAGAAAATGGCTTAAACTAGAAGTGTATTTTCAGAGGCAATGACAAGTTGATACCATGTCCTTGTGTTTTCAACTAACCCTGGCATTAAACCTGGGGAAACTCCATCCCTTATCCTTTGTGTGGGATCTTCTCCTGAAAAAGGACAGGAACAGGGGAATTATTTCCTCAAGTTTCAAAAAAAAAAAAAAAAAAAAAAAAGGAGCACTGAAAACACGCTTCGATATTTACCATGGCTGGTATGTTAGCAGCAGGACTAACAAAACATGGCTCCTCATACATTTATATTTTATACATACACTCTGCCTCCTAAGCTTCTTACCTCAAGATAACACTAGGGCATAGGTCTATGAAATCTAAACTCGCCTCTGTGACAGCACCTCATATCCCTCAAGTTCCACACGTTTCCTAATCAAAGTCTAAAGGTAAGAGGCTATATGTACAACAGCTAAAGTTAAGCATGCACCAACTGCTTCAAGTATTGGGCACTACAACTACAGGATAAGGGCTAAGAGATGATCTCTCCTTTTCCTCAATTTGGGGTGCTATAGTGAGGAACTGCCTCCAGCTGTTCATGTCCAGACATTTTGCAAGAATCCAGTATCTTTTGAGGCTGTCTGTTCCCCTGATTCAGCTGAAATTGGCTAATAGATTTAAAAACTGTTGTGGTAGTGGGGGACAAGGTGATGACAACATTGCCAGAAAGGCAAGAAGGTAGCGCTAACCCAACAGCCTAATTTCCTTAGGAATTCTGGCTAAATATGGTAAAATAATTAAAAATTGCCACAACATTGACATTTTCACTGAAAACGTCACACTTAAGGTTATCTAAAGCCTTTGCAGGGCTAAAAAAACCGCCTCAAATACCGTGCACTCCCCAGCGAGTATTCCCCCATTTCCAAAGTAATAAAATTCCTGCATCTTAGACTCAGTATGTCGCATGATACAGCTGGCACAAGGCCAAATATTACCCACAGGAAACATTTATGAGACAGGTTGATTATTTTTTGTCTTTTTAAGAGAGCAATGGATAAGAAGCGCTCACAGGGTTGAAGCGTTTAAATCCATTTCAAAGTGAAACGGATTTCTGGATAGAGTGCTTGCATGATCTATGCTTTCTATCATGCAGCTCTGCATTTTATCGAATTGATACCCTACATAAAGTATATCTAGTGTGACAATTTCGAGAATTTATCTGTATTATTTTTGATACAAGTTTGACATACAAAAACAGCACAAAGCTGAATGCCTATATATACACGTATGCATGTATATACACACATACACTGAGCTAGACTGGATTGAATCACATTCTGTCCTGGTTTGAGCTGGGGTAGAGTTAATTTTCTTCCCAGCAGCTGGCATAGTGCTGTATTTCGGATTTAGGAGGAGAATAATGTTGATAACGCACCGATGTTTTAGTTGTTGCTAAGCAGTGTTTATACTAAGTCAAGGACTTTTCAGCTTCCCATACTCTGCCAGCAAAGAGGTGCACAAGAAGCTGGGCGGGGGCACAGCCAGGACAGCTGACCCCAACTGGCCCAAGGGACATTCCATACCATACGGTGTCATGCTCAGTACATAAACTGTGGGAAAGCTGGCCAGGGGGGAGGCTGCTCAGGGACCGGCTGGGCATCTGTCAGCAGGTGGTGAGCAGTAGCATCGTGCATCACTTGCTCTGTATATTCCGGTGTCATGCTCAGTACATAAACTGTGGGAAAGCTGGCCAGGGGGGAGGCTGCTCAGGGACCGGCTGGGCATCTGTCAGCAGGTGGTGAGCAGTAGCATCGTGCATCACTTGCTCTGTATATTCTTTTATTATTACTATTTTACTTTATTTCAATTATTAAACTGTTCTTATATCAACCCACAGGTTTTCTCACTTTTACTCTTCCGATTCTCTCCCCCATCCCACCGGGGTGGGGGGTGGCTGGGTGGGGCTCAGTTGCCAGCTGAGGTTAAATCACAACACATTTCCTTCTAAACCAGGATTAACAATTAATGAACATGTACTTAAACGGAACTCAAGCAGAACAGAGTTTGTTTTGTATTTTCCTCATGTTTGCATGCCATCAAAAAAGAGGTGCAATTCAGGAAAGACAGGCTACAACTGGACTCCACAGTATAGAACAAAGCCTGGTTAAAAAGCAGATCAGAGCAAGAAAGCTACAAACTAGCTAGTCATCTCAATGAACATCGATACCCATCCCTGCAAAGTCCTGGGAGCTTTAAGTGACACTGGCAAACATTGTATTGTCCATTGATGAGCCATGAATTCACAACTACATGCCAAGACACTGTGCTTCCAACTAACATATACCTTATGTAGAGGCTCCCTCCCACAGTAAGTTTCTACCAAGGGATTAACTGAACTTTAAACCTTTAGAAATAAGTCAGTGCACAGGTTCTAACTCTGCACTCCATGAACCCATATCGAAACCTTCTGATGAAAGCCAGCACTTACAGTTCAAACAGACTCTTAAAGCTTAGAATCATACAAGTGAACCACCTGACAGCAGTGTGGAGTAGCATGTGCCTTGAATAAAGTCTGTATGATAATTCCCATTTTCAGAAACATCTAGCATTACATTTTGTACTGCAGAGACAATTATTTTACTTTAAATTACTTATTTAGGGAAAGTAATCTATTTCCCTCAAAGTTTATAATTTGCATCCAAAGTCAAATCTGAAGTAGTCAGTTTGAAGTGGGAATGAATACGAGATGAAGCCTCTGAATAAATAATTTGATTTACTGTCCTTTACATACAAAACATCATCCATCACATGAAAACAACCTTTGCGAGGAAAACAGTAAACTCATATTGAACCTTTGCACGCACTTTTTTGACAGTGTTTAAAATGAAGTCTAAAGGTTTAGTGAAATATTTTTTGCTTTTGACTGAAATTTCAAAAGCAGCTTTGAAATGTCAGTATCTAGAAGACGTTTTTAATCAACCTTTATTGGATTATTCATACTTCAGACTGATGCCATTCTTTAAAACTGTACGTGGATTGAAGGTAGAACAGAAGCCAAACAATTGGAAGTACAATACTTATAATTTTCAACAGATGGCACTTTACAGCAAGGAATCTACAGTGTCTAATTAAAAGATAGCAAAAACAATTGTATGGCTGAGTGCATTGACGTGCCAAAGTCTGCACCTGAAAAAGCCTAATATCCTTAAACTTGAAAGTATAGTTCTATAAAACTGAAAGTACAAAGAGGGAATCTAAAGCCAAACAAAAACTCTGAAGTAACATTCTATCTCAGATATTGATCACACCAAGATGTTCTTCACAAAGGCAGGATATTCCCATCTTCTTTTCTTAGGCGGAATTTACAGGTAGAGTTAAGTTTAAAGATAGCAAAGAAAACATGACCATCAGACTACAGTTATTACTGCATACAAGCTCAGAAGAGAACAGAGAATCCTTTTAGTAATATGAGTTAGAGTGCAGTCTTGTGCAAAACTTGACAAGCATTTTGATGTCTAAAGCTACACACAAGATTTTTAGAACCATTTATGAGCTAAGTAAACAAGAAAGGCCTGGGAGCATTGCTGCCTCTGAGTTACAACCCAAGTTACACTTTTAAGTTGTCTGTCAGTATTACCTGAGTGGAAGGCGCTTACTAATGAGAGTCACAAAAGGCAAACTGAGAATGACAACGTTTAAAGAAACCCATGGGGAGCTAACAGTTACCTTCAGTTACCTAATCAGTAGTTATAGAGAAAAAGTCACTCTTCTTGGAGATGCACAGAGAAAGGACAAAAGGCAATGGACACAAGTTGCAGCACGGGAAATGGCAATTAGGTAAATTTTTATAACAGAACTAGTTGAGTATTGAAACAGGCTACCCAGAGCATTTGAAGCTCCGTCTTTGGAGTTATTCAAAACTCGACAAGGCCCTGAGCAAACTCATCTAGCTTCAACAATAGCCCTGCTTTGTGCAGGATGTTAGACTACAAGAACACCAGTCCCTGCCAGGAACTTGTAGGATTCTAAATTGCTCAGTAGAAAATGCTACACAAAAGGATGAGACCAAACACCACATCCTCAGGGCATAACTTTTGAAAGATACTCCCTCAGTTATGACTGAGCCATATTCACTCAGACTCCCAAAACAACCCTTCTCACAAAACCAGAGAACATGACCACCTTTTACCCCGTGATCATGACATCGCTTAGGGACATGGTTTAGTGGGTATGGTGGTGTTGGGTCAACAGTTGGACTCGATGATCTTAGAGGTCTTTTCCAACCTTAATGATTCTATGATTTCAACAGGGTGCAGGAAGTCCTCTTTCTAGTAAAGGACTGAGGACCATGTCTTGGTCTGAATCCTCATTCTGAACTAAACCGAAGAAGTTTTTGATTTTAAAGTCACCTAACTTTTCAGATGTAGGATCTGGTTAGTGGGTAAGCTTCCCATTTTCTACATTAATTTATATAGGATCAAGTCAGCAGCCACAATCAAGCAGCACTTACTATGCTAGACAAAAAAGGAACATCTTATTTGTAAATCCTGTGAGAGTTTACAGACTAGATGTTACCATCGAACAGTATTCAGTTCTGTTAAAAATATTCATGCCCATATGCGGAAAATGTAGGCACATACAATTAGAGTATTTCCAACATTAGGTGGCATGCAAACAAAATTCTCATACATCTGAGCTGAATCCTTAAGGTCATGTGACAAGGTCTTGGAACAAACAAGCTTTTGTAGGCACACAACTATAGCAAAAGGTTTTACTAAACATTATTTCTCCCAGAAATTTTTCCTGGAATACATAAAACCTTTTGTAAATCTGTCCTCTGTACCTAAATATCACTAGAAATTCCACACTGAATTTGAAGCAGAGAGGTCTGCTAATAAAGTAATACAGTTTCCCCTTCAGCACTGTGCAAGGGAAAACTTCAGGTACAGGACGGTATAGGAAAGGGTAGTGTTATACCTCCATAGCATCTTGCGATGCAAATACTGGGCCACAAAATGCCATGATAGCTATATCCTTTTCTGTTCCTGAAGGAGGCATTCTTTCCCCTCATTGCAATCAAAAAAATTAGGCACCTAAGAATCTCATTCAACAGCCAAGAAACCAACAAGCAGCAGCGAAAATACAGCAGAAATGCAGCAACTACAGGAAACTGAAAAATTCCAAGCCAGATACTGGCCTTGTCAGGCTTAGAGCTCTCATGAAAACACAGCTGTAATTTTAGCACTTTTTTTCCCCTTCATTGGTAGGAGCAGATTCATCTCTTGCACAGATGAAAAACTCTATATCCAGATGAACTGAAAGACAAGCCGTTGCATACTTCATACATTTAGAATCAACTAGCCCAGATATTTTACAGCTGATTTTAAGATTGAGCAATCATTTTGGTGTCAAGGAAAGCCTTACTAATCTGCTATTTACAAACTCTGCTCAGAATGAAGAAGCTGTTTCCATACAGCTTCATCCAACCTTAAGGCTATAAAAATTTATGCCTCAATCCATTTAATTAGTGAGAGACTTCCATATATCTGATTCAGGCTGCTTCCAATCTTCTCCCATTAGTCCTTTCAGGTTCAAGTCTTTGAAAAATTCCAGGCGATGACTGCAAAGAGAGGAGAAATAAAGAAAAAAGTTCTAAGTCTTGTAGTATGTGTCTTAATAAAAGGCAGTATCCTCAATAGGTTTAATCAATCTTTATTTTCAGGTTTTCTTGGACAGGAATGTAACCAGCATTCCATGTGTTCATTTTCCCAAACTTGAGTTTATAAATAAAAAACACTACTGTGTTTCTGAAAATCTTGTACTGGAAAACACAGGGCAAAATCCTCAGCTGTGAACAAGTATCACACAGCATAAAGTGAAGTTAACAAAGTGCTCACCTTTTAAAGTCCCTCAACTTACGTTGCCTGGAACTGCAGTCAGAGCAAGAGCACAGTGCCTGCTTTATGACTTATCCACATTCCAACAGAGCAAAAATTTTCAACTCTTGACCAATTGAAAAATCATATCACAGGGATATCCTTTCCTTACAGAAAAGAGGAAGACTGGATAGGATAATGAAGCTAGTAAATATATTTTTGCTGTAAGACTAGAAGTCTTGTTTTCTTTTAAACATTATGAACCAGTTCTTGCTAAGAATTTCTCCTTTAGGCTACCACACAGAAACAATAGAAGGAAGACACTGAAGCCAATTGCTAATTAATAATTACATTAAACAACTGCCAAACAGTAGACAGAACATCTGACACTACACTAATCATTTAAAAAGGTAAATGGAATTCTCTTATTAGGAAGTAATTTGTAAGAGTAAAGACAAACTAAAGAGCAATGAAAGAAAGGAGCAACCTCTTCACATAATTGCATCTGCTACCGATGTCTGAAAAAGTCAAGGGGTTTTTTGGAAGGGGTACTATAGAAAGAACAGAAAGAATCCCTTCCTGAAAAATATTACAGGCATTCTCCAGTTTACCACAGAAAAATAAAGGTATCTATTTCTTACGGAACACTGATAAAGAGAATGTATTTTATTAGCAATAGCTTAGAATTTTTTTAAACAAACAGTTGCAGAAGCTAAGTTTTTCTTAAATAAAGGCAAAAAAGGGTAACTTATCTAAAATTTACCTTACCTGGCTGTCATTGTATGTTGAATAACAAGTTTGCATAAGAACTACAGCGTACCCTCTAGAGCTAGTTCATTTATACAAAATGCCCAGAAGTAGCAGGTTTTATCAAATCATCTCAGCCTCACAGTCAAAGAAAATAAACAGGCCCAAACCAGAATTTAAAAATCAAGATATTCTAGTTTTTCCTCTTGATACTCGGTATCCTTTCATTATACTTCTCAGCTATGTCTGCCTTTTCAAATTTTTCCATAATATGGAGCCATCTGTAGAGGTGAGGTTGTTTATAACAGTAGGGGAGAAGCAAAAGATTTACTGGAAACATATCTGCTGAAATTAACACTAAATGGCATTTCAGGAGGTGCTGGAGGCAAGGAAAAAGTAGAACAACTTATCTATGATTTAGCTGAGGAAGGTGATAAAAGAGATGCCAATAGTGTTGAGTGCATCATTTTCTATGCACCTAGGGGATAACACAGAAATCAAGCACTAATTACAGCTATCTGCCACAGTGCTTTATACAAAGTACAGTGCCAATACATCTAAGCAGTATAATTAAAATACTAGTGGCACTCAATCTGAAAACCAGATTAGCTTTTTTAAGTATTCCAAGAATAGTGCAAGTATACTATAAAAGAGCTAACTTCATGCTTACAAATCTGGTTTCTGTCCTTCCTGTAGTTCACGTCGAGGCACCGGATGAAGCGCTTCATATTTTCTCTCTTCTCCTGAGCCATGAATTGCAAATGCATTGAACTTGTTAGTGCCTGGTGGAAAATAATTCCAAGGAAGATGAGCTTTACCCTCCCATTTAGTTTTCATTCTGGTCACCTCAAACTCTAAAGGAAGTTCTTGCTGTGAAAGGAAATAAAATAGAAAAAAAAAAAAAAAAAAAAAAAGAGGTAATGTCACCTTCCAATCAGGCAACATGTACCTAAAACCAATTAGCTTTTCTGTACACTATGAATGGACTTGTCCACTTACTTTCCATATTCTTCTTTTGCCAGAAAGCAGCAACAACAAGTGTTGGCCATGGCTGTCAAAAAAATCAAAGCACAATTTTCTTAAAATGATGCCAAGTCATTAGTGTACTGTTCTGCCACAAATGTGTACATTCTCCATATTGGAACAATTTCTGTACCCAGTCTTTCTCATACATATATCTTACAAGCATTAGAACTGGAAATGCAAATTAACATTTGTTACTTTTTCAGAGTGCTGTACTTACGGACAAAGTTCAACTTCTAAATACTGTTCAGTTCTGTCACTCAGGAAAAATGCTTCTACAACTAAAAAAAAACCAGGCTGTCAGTATTTTATATTAACTATTTTTTAATATCTTGACACCTTCATATTCCACTAAAACAATTCTGTTCTCACGATTTTTGGCCTGTGCCACGCCAGAGTTTGCCTAGCTGTGTACATGCTACTGACAGCTTCCTAACTATTTGAAATGCTGTGCCACAATTGTAACTTCAAGAGCTTTTATTTTTAATGCCTATCATCATAAAGAGCTTTATAAAGCACTGTACTAATTTTATTTACTTTACCAACTCCAGCTTTGGAAACACTCATCTTGATGCAGCAGAAAAATGGTAGGTCTACTAACTAATGTTAGCTGCCAATGCAGTAAGAAAAGCATCAGCACACAGCTATTTCACCTAGTGTGCTTGCTGTGAACAAAGCTGACCAAGATAGGGTGATCCTAGTCAATCATACTCACAGCATGTACTTCAGGCAGAGCACTTAAGTGCAGAAGGCTTGTGTTTGCTGGTAGCCTGAGGATTCACAGCACCAGAGACAAGAAAAAAAAAAAATGAAAAGAGGAACATACATTCACAGCAGAGCACACACCCCATAACTAACTCAGAAATAGTAAGAAAGTGTTTAGCTCTTAAGTGGCTGTTCCCTGTAGATGGCTGATACTATGGACAGGAGATTACTGTTCCAGGTGTACCTGAAAGCCTGGTGTGACTGCTGAATCACCTTTCAGGAACACAAAGCAGAACTATAATGGTGTTTCTCACAGCAATGACATTATTAGAAAGCTTTAGTTAGAATTATAATTAGATATGATTGATAACTTTATTTTTACTTAAGCCTATTTAGTATAATAATATCAAAGAGGTGCTAATACTGTTCTAGGAGAGCTTTCATCAGAATAGCTCAACAATCAGGAAGTAGAGATCTGCTGGAAACATTAAATTCTTGCATTATTCAAAGCAACAGGTAAAAGTGAAAGTATTGACAGGAAAACGGAAAGAAAACAGCATTACTATAAGAATATTTCCCATTCCACTTGGGTACATATTTTATAAGCTGCCCTTTGTTTCACACCTTCCTATTCCTCAAATATACTTTGGAAAAGTGATTAAAATAGACAAATGTTTTAGCTATTGTTCTCTATTTCTTAAAGCAGAAGTAGAACCTATCTTTCAGATTTTGCTTCTATTTATCTACTGCAAATCCATTTATATATATATATATGCGCCACAAAATTATTTTGATATTAAAATATTCTAAACCTCTATTATTCCACAAGTTTTATCAGCAACCCAGAAACTAAGTTTGAGTGCCTATACTATTGACCAGATCAGGAAGAGTCAGCCTCATCATTCTTGAAATCTATCCAGCTCATCGTACTCCATTTCTTTATGGCCACCGAGTGACATAATGTATTTGCTTCTTTTCCTAGTTATTTGTATTGTTGCACTACAATAGAACAACCACTCACCTTACAGCCAGCAGTGTTAGTGATGAAAATCAATTCACCACCTAGAAAAAGAGCACCACTCTTGATACAGTTTGGGGTGGTTTACAGCTGAATATAGTATGTGGCTTATAGTTACTTAAGGAGTTGTTTAAAGGTAAGGCAGTGATTACAACTAAATTCTCTCCCAGTATTCTTCCCCACAGAAAGGAAATTTTTTTACTTTACATTTCAGATCTGCTCTTTAAAAGCAGTAGTGTGACCAAAGAAACCAAACTGAATTAGACGGCATACACTCGCAACCTTAGATCAGTTTGAAAAAATAACCATCATAGACTCTTCAGTAAAGACCAGGCATATTAACTACAGAGGAACATCAGTGTCTACACAAATCAGACATATTTGCAGCAGAACAGTTACACTTACCCTCATAGTCCCACAGTCTACTAAAAGGTTTCCCTGGCTCTCCAAGTGGTGCTGGAGGATCATTAAAGAAGGGAGCATTAACTTCCATCAGCAGTCCTGCATTGTCCGACTTCAGCACAATTGTTACTGGCTCATGGCTCACAGGTAAACCATCCCATGTGTGTTTAATTGTAAATTCCATCTTCATGTACTACGTAAATGAGAAAGGAAGTTTCTGTAAAGAAGATCTCAGATTCCATTTCAGCACCAACTACACTGTTTGCTTGGCCAGGAAAAAAGCACACTTTCAGAAGAGCTGATAGTTTAGTTTTATAAAGCAACTAAATAAACAGTTACATGAATGCTTTTTTTTGATATCTGCATGGTTACAAATCACTCTGAAGTCTTAAGTCTTTTAAAAGTACGAAGTCAATCATCAAATCATGTTTTTAGACATCAGAAGAGCTGGGATAGTTTAGTTTTATAAAGCAACTAAATAAACAGTTACATGAATGCTTTTCATAGTTTTTTGATATCTGCATGGTTACAAATCACTCTGAAGTCTTACCAAGCTTACGGCATTTCAACTATGTACCTAAATAAACACCTTCCAAACCCATCAGAAATATTTATCAAGAGAACAGATAAACAAAACAAAGTCTCCACTACATGATCTCAGATGATTTGGTAATATGAGAAAAACAGATTGAGAAAAAACTTCCATGAATCTGAGATGCAAGAAGATGAAACAATTAGCTAAAACCTTCCTTCATGGTCATTGCAAACCAGCCAAACTACAGGATTTCAAGGAAAACTGCAAGCACATCTTGTTAAACACACTGCATGCTTGCAGAGCAGCAAGAACAGAGAACAGTGCACTCCAACAGCAGTTGTTACTTAGAAATAACTGTACAAACCTTAAGAATAGCCTTAATCTATTTAATAAGCAAAAGAATTGATTTGTTCCCTTACACATGTCCTAGCCGTACCAGAAGGGAACTGGCAGTACATAGCCTGACTGAGCATTATGCACACGCTGTTAAGTCCTGTGACCAGAGAGGTGCTAGCGCAGTAGCTAAGTTGTAATCACGTTTTCTTCAGTGGGGAACACTAAATGGTGTTACTTCATCTCTACCCAGACACCCATTTTCTTGGGACTCACAGAAAGGTAAGCATAACTTACCACATTCTGCAGGTGTTATCAACAGGTGTAGTACGTGAGACAGAATGTAACCACATGCATCACACTTCCCTATATGCCATAGCCTTGCTCTTATGACTACATATTAACTGTGTCTCATACCCTCTGCTACAGTCACACTAGCCAGTTCCATTCGCTGATGTTCATGCTGAAAAGCATCAGACCTCCTCTCTTTGAGTTCTAATCGGTAAAACAGCTAGAATGACATTAGGTAAGTAGATATACTCACAATCAAGGAGATGATGATATGACCAAAGAAGTGTGACAGATTAGAGAAAATTTGAAGCAATAGATTTAGTAATTAGGCACCTTAATTTAAGAAGTCTAGTAAAAAAAAGAAAGTCAAGTATCGGACCCTCACTTTTGACAAGGTTATATTTAAATAAACTGAAAACTAATTAAATTCTTATGTCAGCATTTTAACTGCATGATATGCTAGACAAGCATCAGATGTGCTTTATGCAAGAGACCTGGTATAGCCCTAGAAACTATGAAAGACTCTACCATCATTAATGTTCACTCCAACTTAAGTGGCAAGTTTCTGGAAGCAAGATCATACAAGTTGAAAGAAAACAGTCAGTGCCCAAAGCATGGGGAGGGAAGACATGCAACAGTGTCCTAACAGCATTCTTAAACTAGCAGAAACTGGCTCATAGTCCAGTATTACTAGTAACTCAAACAGGAAAAACTAAATCATCCACAGTTTAAAACAAAAAAGAGAGAACTAGTAAGAAAAGGTATTCTAAGCAAGTACAGTGACAACTCTTCTGCAATAATGACAACGTACGCCACCAAATAAAAGAGCAGTATGTTAAATAACAAGTCCCTTTCACAACACAAACAGCTGCTGAAACATATTCCATGGGCTATTTAGCCTTAAACTGATCTAGAAAATATTAATCCACAGGAAATATAGGCAAGCGTTGTGTTTTTAATTTTCTAAGCTGCAAACACTGAGCAGCGTGAGCATGAAGTATCCACAGATGGTAAGACCCTTCCTAGTGTTTTTTGAAATGAACAGGAGAATTCCTGTAAATGGAGTGCACATACCTTACGCGCACTTACTGTGAAAGGAAACAAGACAGAATTCCACAAGCAGGATCACTTACTCAGAATAGTAAAGTTTAAGAGTAGATGGGTGCACCTAAGAAAGTTAATGAAGTGTTATGAACCCATTTTATACTAGACTATTAAATTAACATTATGCACTTAGAAGTCAACATTTCCTTCTATTATTCTATTTCAAGTTTGTGCTGATATATTTAACTTTGCATTCACTGGTCAAGGCAAATATCTGAAACACCTAGTTGAAAATACTGCCAGATTTCAACAGTTTTAAAATAATATAGCCGTCTAATAAAGGTAGCCTGGGAAGATCTTAAAATCCAGGGAGAATTACATGACTACCTATTAAAATTCCTGACTGAAGTAAGGAATGTGAAGCTCCTTGTGCAAAAGATTTGAAAGGTTGTCTCAGGAAAAGAGTCACAACATACCAAGTTTTTTTAAAAAAGCAGTAAAATAATAGAACCTGCTAACTACTTTAGACACTACTGTAACTGTAGTGTCTAAAATGAAGATGAGACACAAGATGCATCACACATTCCTATTTGTACCTATATGAGAGACAGATGACTTTTTTTGGTAAAAATCTTAACTCCTGTAGGGACAGCTTACAGTGTACTGAAATGAACGTACTGAAGATTTAGCCCACTGTCATAAACCAATATTACTCTTGAACAGAAGAACATGCAATTTTAAAAAGAACCATAAAATAGTAAGGAAAACTGCAAAACATTCACAAGCTTCCATTAGAGGTCTACCTAGTGCTAAGGTTGCTTAATTTACAGGACAGCAGATCTAAGATTTTCCAAATTAATGGCCGTCGGTGCAAGTTTTAAGTTTATTACATTACATAGACTTAGGTAAGCTGGCTACTAGGATGCTTTTCAATTATAATGAAAGCAGCAACACATAGCAATGGTGTAAAAGTCATTTCAAAGAGCAAGAGGAGACCTTTCATTACCTTTTAACACCACACCTCAGCCCGTTGTTAATGCACTGTAACGAGATGCAAACGCTAAATGAAATATTTACAGCCAGTACTTTCTCAGCCATTTAAAAGCACTCACACCACACGGCCTCAAGCTACACAGAGCTGACAGCACCTGGCTGACAGGCTCAGGCCTCGGCCACATGCCCGTCACACCTCACCAGCAAGGAGAAAGCTACAGCTGCTTGCCGCTGCAATCGCCTCGTGCCTCTCCTTACCGAGGGGATTTACTTCTTCCACCCCAAACCCCATCGACGTCGGTAACAAGGACAAAAACAAGCAGGAAGCACTTAGACTGGTGTTTTTCTTAATTGCTCCAAGAGGACAGGGGAAAAGTTGGAAACGGTGTAAGAGACAGCAGCTTTTACCGTAGTTAAGACTTCATTACTAGACACGGGCACGAGCTCCCAGAGGGCTCGAAACCCTTCCCGGTTTCGGTTACCCCCCAGCTACTCCAGCCCGCCCCTAACAGCAGCGGCGGCATTTCCTGAAGAGAAGTTTAACGCGTAAGCGCCTATCCTTAACCCATAAGTTTCTTAGAGAAGTTTAACAAGGGTTTTCTTACAGCTCCAGACATCCGCTGCGACCCCGAAAGAAAACTCGGCTCCCCGGCACGTCAAGCGCCCCCACCGCCCGCTTTCCCGCGCC